ATGGAAGAAAAAATAGGGACAATGCTAGGAGCCCTAATATATGGCCTAAACAGAATACAAACCATAAGTAACAATGCAGGAACATCAGAAGAGAAACTAGATAACTGGGAGCTCCTAAAAATCAAACACTTAGGCTCATCAAAAGACCTCACCAAAAGAGTCAAAAGACAACGTACAAACTGGGAAAAAATTTTTGGCTACGACAAATCCGATCAGCATCTAATCTCTGAAATCTACAAGATACTGCAAAACCTCAACAACAAAGAGACAAATAACCCAGTTAAAAAATGGGCAAAGGATATGAACAGGCACTTCACCAAAGAAGACATTCCGGAGGCTAATAGACATATGAGGAAATGCTCATGATCATTAGCTGTTAGAGAAATGCAAATCAAAACTATAATGAGGTACCATCTCACCCCAACAAGGCTAGCATTAGTCCAAAAAACACCAAATAATAAATGTTGGAGAGGTTGTGGAGAGACTGGAACACTTACACACTGTTCGTGGGAATGTAAAATGGTACAACCACTTTGGAAGTCGATTTGGCGCTTCCTTAAAAAGCTGGAAATAGAAGTATCATATGATCCAGCAATCCCACTCCTTGGAATATATCCTAGAGAAATAAGAGCCATCACACGAATAGATATATGCACACCCATGTTCATTGCAGCACTGTTCATGATAGCAAAAACATGGAAACAACGTAGGTGCCCATTAATGGATAAATGGATAAACAAATTATGGTATATTCACACAATGGAATACTACGCAATGATAAAGAACAGTAATGAATCCGTGAAACATAACATGGAGGAATCTGGAGGACATTATGCTGAATGAGTTTAGTCAGTCGCAAAAGGACAAATATTGTATGAGACCATGATCATAAGAACTCAAGAAAAGGTTTAAACACAGAAGAAAACAGTCTTTGATGGTTACGAGAGTGGGGAGGGAGGGAGTGGGGTATTCGCTAACTAGATATTAGATAAGAATTATCTTAGGTGAAGGGAAGGACAACACACAACACGGGAAGTCAGCACAACTGGACTGAACCAAAACCTAAGAAGTTTCCTGAATACAACCAAACACTTCAAGGGACAGAGTAGCAGGGGCGGGGCCTGGGGACCATGGTTTCAGGGGACATCTAGGTCAATTGGCATAACAAAGTTTATTAAGAAAATGTTCTGCATCCCACTTTGGTGAGTGGCGTCTGTTGTCTTAAAAGCTAGAGAGCAGCCATCTAAGATGCATCAATTGGTCCCAACTCACCTGGAGCAAACGAGAATGAAGAACACCAAAGACACGAGGAAAACATTAGCCCAAGAGACAGAAAGCGCCACATAAACCAGAGACTTCATCAGCCTGAGACTAGAATAACTAGATGGTGCCCAGCTACCACCAGTGACCACCCTGACAGGAAACACAACAGAGAGTCCCTGATGGAGCCCGAGAAAAGTGGGGTACAGAACTCAAATTCTAGTAAAAAGACCAGACTTAATGGTCTGACTGAGACTGGAGGGACCCCAGAAGACATGTCCCCCAGACTCTCTGTTAGCCCAAAACTAAAACCATATCCAAGGCCAACTCTTTAGACAAAGATTAGACTGTAGTATGGGACATAAAATGACACTCGGGAAGAGTGTGCTTCTTAGCTCAAGTAGATACACGAGACTAAATGGGCAGCTCCTGTCCGGAGGCGAGATGAGAAGGCAGAGAGGGTCAGGAGCTAATTGCATGGACATGGGAAATCCAGGGTAGAAAGGAGGAGTGTGCTGTCACAGTATAGGGAGAGCAACTAGGGTCACCTGACAATGCGTGTATAAATTTTTGTATGAGAAACTAACTTGAATTGTAAACTTTCACTTAAAGCACAATAAAAATAAAAAAGAAATCAAAGATAACGGTGTCACCTTCATAAACAAGGATGAATGGTTCTCCTGATCTAATATCAGTTATACTTGTTGTCATGGATTGAATTCTGTTCCCCAAAAATATTTGTCAACTTGACTGGGCCATGGTTCCCAGTATTGTGTGGTTGTCCTCCATTTTGTGATTGTAGTTTTATGTTAAAGAGGATTAGGGTGGGATTGTAACACCCTTACTAAGGTCACATTCCTGATCCAATGCAAAGGGAGTTTCTCTGGGGTATGGCCTGCACCACCTTTTATCTTACAAGAGATGAAAGGGAAGCAAGTGGAGAGTTAGGGACCTCATACCACAAAGAAAGAAGCACCCGGAGCAGAGCGTGTCCTTTGGACCCAGTGTTCCTGCACAGAGAAGCTCCTAATCCAGAAGACTGATGAGAATGATCTTCCTCCAGAGCCAACAGAGAGAGAAAGCCTTTCCCTGGAGCTGATGCCTTGAATTTGGACTTCTAGTCTACTAGACTGTGAGAAAATAAATTTCTCTTTGTTAAAACCATCCACTTGTGTTATTTCTGTTATAGCAGCTCTAGGTAACTAAGACACTTGTGTTTTTAATATTTTTAATATCTCTGATGTGAGTATGTTGATTCATCTATATTCTACATCGTTCTTCCTGTGAGTGTAGATAGTGGAAACAGGGTTATCAGCCCAAATATAAGGCACATTCCAAGGTGTGGTCTGAAGACTACAGAATGCCTAAGTCAGAAGACAGTGTTCTGGTTCACCTCTTTTACTGGTTGAGTACCTTTGAGCAAGTCACTCACCTCTAGAGGCACAGGAGAGGAAGATAACCAGATTTAGTCAGGTCTTAACATGTTTTACTGATACCCTGGACTTCATCATCTTAGTACTTACCACATTGGTTTTAAATCACTGTATAATTATTTGTGTATTGTCTGTCTTTTCCACTAGAATAAAACTTCTAATGAGACAGAGACCATATTTACCTTGTTTATTGCTCTCTCCCCAACACCTAGCACAATGCTTGGCATTTTGTGGGCTTTCAGTATTTGTGAAATGAGTAAGTGAGAATGATTTTCCCCAAGAAGGATAAGGAAAGATTCTCAGAGGTAAAAAATCAACATACTCTGGTTGTGACAAGCTTTGCATATGAGACTGTCACCTAAGTAAACCATACCACCCTGTGATGTGGAGATACAGTACTGATGACATTGTAATACCTCTTCTTTAGATATTACCAGCTAGAAGCCACCCTAAAATGAAATTGTATCAGTAAGGGGTGTCTAGATTATGCTGTAGTAACAACAATCTCAAAATCTCATTGACTTACAATAATGTAAGTCTCACTCGTACCCCATAAACATTGCTGGTAGGCAGTGGTTTTGCTACATATCATCTTCACTCTTCAGCCAAGGCTGATGGAGCAGCCTCTATCTGTCTGGAGCACTAAAGGCCAGGAATGCAGAGGGAAAAGAGAGTGTGACAAAGTGTGAACTAGCCTTTAAAGCTTCTGCCTCTAAGTGACATATGGTACTTCCATTCAGGCTTTGACCAAGTGGCAGAGAAGTATAACGCACCTCCAGGGAGGAACAGCAATGTTTTGAGCAATACTACAAGTTAGTAAAGAAATCAAGAGAAAAAAAAAAAGTCAAATCCTGTACAGTAGGTCCTGACCCTTAAGGATATAACATGGGTGATTTCCAGTATTTGCTAACGATCCTAAAGATCATTGCATTTGTAATTTGGGGAAATCTTGTCCTCCCATCCTAGCTTCTATACTGTTTTTGTTTGTTTGTGAGGCATGGCAGTAACATTGTGAGTGGGTCATTCTCCATTTAGAGGTTTTCACAGGTTCCCAGGCAAGTCCTTTTCCATTGTCAAAGATTCGCTGGAATTTCAAGTGTAGACTAAAGAGCATGTTAGCATGAAATCTATGAATATAAAAATAAAAGAATATGTGGCAAGTAAACTTCCTGGGACTGTGCTTGTCCAAAAACATCTTTATTCTGTCCTCAAACTTGATTAACAGTTTAGCTGGTTATAGAACTCTAGATTGTAAAGAATTCTCCTTTAGAACTTTGAAGGCACCACTCATTGTCTTCTAACATCCAGTGGTTTTTGAACAGCTTTATTGAGAAATTTTTGAAAAACTGCACATATTTAAGGTCTATAACTGATGTTGTTTACATATCTATCTGCCTATCTACCTATCTATCTGTCTATCCCCAGCTTCCCACCTTTCCCCAATTCACAGACAATCACTGATCTGCCACTATAGATTAGTTTGCGCTTTCTAGAATTTTATACAAATGGAAGCATACAGTATGCACTCTTCTTGTCTGAATTCCTACAGACAGCATTATTTTGAGATTCACCTGTTGTGGTGTTATTAATAGTTCTTCCTTTTTATTGCTAAGTAGTATTCCATTGCATGGATATACCACAGTTTGTTTATCCATTTACCTGTTGATGGGCATTTGGATATTTTCCAACTATTGACTGTTGCAAATAAAGTCGCTATAACATTTGTGTATAAGTCTTCGTATGGATTATGCTATTATTTATCTTGGGTCCATACCTAGGAGTGGAATGTCAGGATCATATAGTAGGTGTACACTTAACTTTTCAAAAAACTGCATACCCATTTTCCTACATGGTTGTACCATTTTGTATTCCTACCAGCAGCCTATGAAAGTTCTGGTTGGTCCGTAGACTCACTAATATTTGATTCAATCAGTCTTTTTAATTTTAGCCATTCTAATAGGTTTCTAAAACAAAAGGTAGGAGCCCTGGTGGTGCCGTGGTTAAGCGCTCAGCTGCTAACAAAAAGGGTGGCAGTTCAGCAAACCACTAGCTGCTCAGTGGGAGAAAGATGTGGCAGTCTGCTTCTGTGAAGATGTCAGCCTTGGGAGGGTTACAAAGCATGGGCTTCTGGTGCCTTGGGAAGTGGATTGGGGTGCATCCTGCGGAGTCATGGGGACGGTGCTGTGATATATGAAAGAGGGATCAAGGAAGACAGGAGAATTTAGGAGTGGTTTCTGGTACTGTAGAGTTACCTCTTCTACCTCTCAGTTGATTTCAGAATCACTCCTCAGCCCCTACAGGGAGACCATGCCGGAACCCTGGAAGAGGCTGACTGGGGCTGCTGGGCCAGACAAGAAGGGGCCATCAGGAAAATGTACCAAAACTGAGAACCCAGATGAGGCATCAGCTAAAATGGAGAACTCTAGCCTTCAGAAGTCTTCAGCCTCTAAGAGTTGTGGAAAAAATCCAAGCAGCCACTGGCTAATGAAGTCAGAGCCAGAGAGCCAACTAGAGAAAGGTGTAGATGTGAAGTTTGGCACTGAGGATCTCAAAGCACAGCCAAATCAGACAGCATGCTGGGATACTGTTCACAGCTACCAGGCCCGGAACTTCCTTAGAGCCATGAAGCTGGAGGAAGAGGCCTTCTTCTACCATAGCAATTGCAAAGAGCCAGGCATCACGGGGCTTATGAAGATTGTGAAGGAAGCCTACCCAGACCACACGCAGTTTGAGAAAAACAATCCCCATTATGACCCATCTAGCAAAAAGGACAACCCCAAATGGTCTATGGTGGATGTACAGTTTGTTTGAATGATGAAGTGTTTCATTCCCCTTTTTGAGCTCAAAACCCACCATCAGGTTCACAAGGCCACCAGCAGCCCCTTAAAAGACATGTCTGTCTTCACTTGCCAGAGACTCTCAGTTCAGCCCCTGGCCCAAGAAGAGTTTGATTTTATTTTGAGCCTGGAGGAAAAGGAACCAAGTTAACTGGGACCCTACTGCTGGAATAGGCAAGACACATCACCCAAGAAGTCAAACTTGTATGGCAAAAGAAGGTGCAAGGAGGTTTGGTTGTTTTGTTTACCTGGGGTTGTGTGTATAGGTGGTTTTTGTGTACTTTTTTCAATAAAACATTAACATAAAAAAAAGATTTCAGCCTTGGAAACCCTATGGGACAATTCTACTCTGTCCTATAGGGTCACTATGAGTCAGAATTGACTAGATGGCAATGTGCAGTGCAGTGAATTACTTAATATGGCCCTTCTAGCCATAGTCTTTGTAACTCCCATGAAATGACTGGGAACTATGCAAACGAGGTGCTTGTGGCCCACCAAGGGGATTGGATAGCTTGCTAATAATGTAAATAACGTGTATGGCACCCTTGTGGGAGTAGGACCATGCAAATAAAGTTTATTAAACCCTGATGAGGGAATTGGTCAGTTTTGCCATCCCACTAGGCTTAAAGGGAGACAGAGAGAGAGAAAGAGGGAGGAGCAGTAACACAGAAGACAGAGAGAGGCAACAGAGGCTGCAGAGGCAGCAGAACCAGGACAGAGAGGGAGAGCTGTAACAACGGAGACAACGAGAAGCGGTGGCAGAGAAGCAGAGGCAGCAGAACCAGGAGACCAGCAGGAGACCGGCAGGAGACCGGCAGGAGATGGCGCGGTGGGCTTCCCGGCCCACTGAACAAGAAAGTTGAGCACCTTCGGGCACAAGGCTTACTGCCAGAGTAGGGTGCCTCTGGGCACTTATTGGCAGAGCTAAAAGAGGTTTGTAACACTTGCTAGAGCAGGACAAAGGCCAGGTCGAGGGACCAAAAGGCCAAGGGGCCAGAGAGAGATGTGCCTGTGGCACAGCTGAGAACAGATTGTCCTGATCAAAGAAATGTATCCTGAGCGTTCCTGAACCTGAATTGTAACCGGTTACTTCCCTAGTAAACCCCATAACTCTGAGTATGGTCTGTGAGTTCTGTGTGGCTATTGCAACGAAACCCAGCAGAGAAGTAGAGAGTGCCATGGGAGGGATGGTTGGTGTCAGGCTTGGTAAAAAGTTTGGAAAGGAGGTATGTCTGACCTCCACCTCATAGCAATCAGCCTTGAGCTGTTGATCTTCATTCTCCTTCCCCCTTGTGAAGTTAGAGGAGGTTAGACACCTCTGCCATGCCGTTTTTACACAATGGGTTTTAATAGGTTTATATCTCATTGTAGTTTTAATCTGCATTGCTGTAATAACTATTGGGACTCCTCGTGGCACAGTGGTTAAAGCACTAGACTGCTATCCCAAAGGTTGATGATTTGAACCCACCAGCTGCTCCATGGGAGAAAGATGTGCCAGTTGGGTTCCATAAAGATTTGCAGCCTTGGAACCCCTGTGGGGCAGTTCTACTCTGTCCTATAGGATCGCTATGAGTCAGAATTGACTTGATGGCAGTGGGTTTGGTTTGGTTGGTAATAATTAATCATGTTGAATATATTTTCATCTGCTGATTTGCCATTCATGTATCTTCTTTGGTGAAGTGTCTATTCAAAACTTTTGCCTATTTTTTACAATGGGATTGTTTTCTTACTGAGTTTTGAGGATTCTTTATATATTCTGGATACAAATCTTTTATAAAATATGTGATCTGCAAATATATTCTTTCAGTCTGTGGCTTGTCTTTTGCAGAGCAGCAGTCTTAATTTTAATGAAATCCAATTATGATTTTGTTCTTTTATGACTCATACTTCTGGTGTTGTATCTAAGAAAACTTTGCCAGGTCACAAAGATTTTCTCCTATGTTTTCCACCAGAATTTTTATAGTTTTATATTTAGGTTTATGGTTCATTTTGAGTTAACTGTTGCATAAGATGTGAGGTATGGGTTGAGATTATTTTTTTAATGCAGATGTCCAATTGTTTAAGCACTATTTGTAGAAGAGACTATCCTTTCTCAGTTGAATTGGTTTCGCACCTTTGTCAAAAAATTAATTAACCATGTAGCTGTAGGTATGTTTCTGGATTTTCTATACTCTTTCATTTACATATGTGCCTATCCTTTCACCAACACCATACTGCCAACAAATCTTCAACAATTCTCTCTGTATTTTCTGTTATCCCCCCTGGTCTGGTTCTCCAATCACTCGTAGGTTATTCCTCTTGATAGAATCCCACATAATTCTTAGGGATTCTTCATTGTTTTAAATCCTTTTATCTCATTTTTCTTCAAATAAGTTGGTGTCAAGTGCTTTATCTTTAGTCTCACTAATTCTGACTTCCATTGCCTCAATTCTGCTCCTATGACTTTCTATTGAGTTCTCTAATTCTGAAATTTTTTGGTTAATCTTCTGGATTTCTGATTGCTGTCTCTCTATGGATTCTTCAACACTGTTAAATTTGTCATTATGCTCTTCTCTAATCTTTTTAATTTCCTCTATTGCGTGTTCTGCATTTTGATTAATTTCCTTCTTAATCTCTTGAAGAGTTCCATATATTAATCTTTTGTATTCTGCCTCCAGTAATTCCAAGAAATTTTCCTCCTCCAGAAAATTTCTAGATTCTTTATTTTGGGAGCTTGCTAAAACCATCATTGGTTGCCTCTTTATGTGATTTGATATTGACTGTTGTCTCCAAGCCATCAATAAGTTATTATATTTATTTATTTCATGTTTGCTTACTGTGTCCTAGCTTCTTGTTTTGTTTTGATGAGCCCAAATAGGCTACTCATGTGAGCTAGTTTGATTATTGGCACCTTTGAAGCTCTAATGTCCTGTCACCAGGTGGTTAGATCTGTTACTAGGTATGTGAGCTCAGGAGTCCACCCACTCCTCCTGTATGGATTCAGCTCAGGTGCCCAGGTAGATAGCCACCAAGTGTGTGGTGTAGGCTCTCACTTACAGTCCTAGACAGGCATGGGTGATTGGTGTAGGCACAGGCATCTGGCTGAAGCAGGGGGACACACTCTGAGCAAGGCAGGTGGCTGATGGCCACCCCTGAGTGTCCAGGAGGAAGGCATGTCCCTGTTCCCTAGAATGCCTAGGTGGGTGGGTTTTGCTGCTGGCCTATGAGCACCCAATGCTGTTGGCTGTAAGGACTGTTGGGGGTATCTCTTATTTTTGGGCCCCTATAGCAGGTGGCTAGGTGGCATGGGTGGAGCTACCAGTCCTCAGGCCCCTGATGTGGGTAGGTGAAGACCCTGCTTAATGGGCAGAGCAGTGTCAAATGTCACAAACCTGTCACTTCACAGCTGAAACAGTTGAAGTTAGACTTCAGGTATATACCCTGTTGTACTGTGGTAATGAGGGCCTACCCTGTTGAAATGGGCCCACACAAGTCTATGTGGGGGAAAGGCACTCAAAGTCCATGGATCCCTTATGCCTGAACCTAGGCAAAGGAGCTGTGCCTACCCTGAGTTCCTGGTTTAGGGGAGCCGGCAGTTTGTTTTTTCCCGTTTGTTAATTTGTCCACTCTCCAAGGCCGGGAGAATGGCTCAGGGCGTGTGTTGAATCCTACTTCTGGCCCAGGGGACTTGGCAATTGCTGAAGCCACTCCGGGACCCAGTGCAGAGCAGGGAGCAGGGAGGTAAATGGGAGAGAGGTTTTTCCCTAACGGGGATGTTTTTGATCCATGCGATAGGCTGGACGCAAGTACTTATCTTTCGCTGATCGAGGGCTGCTTCTCACTGGTTCTGGGTGGCCGAGTAGACTCTCTGCTGCTGGGTCTCTCCCAGTGCAGAAAACGCCTCCCGAGCACTGCTGCTTGCCTGCCTCACTGCTCACCCATGAGCTGATCAGGCCTGAAGGGCTCAGGCTCTCGCCGGGTCAGGTCTGGAAACTCCTCACTGCTTCCGAACTGTCTCTCCCTACCGTCTGGTTCCTCAACTTTGCCTTTGATGTCCAGGGCTCCTAGATTGTCAAATACAATTGATTCACTTGTTTTTTCTGGTCTTTGATGTAAGAGGATCCACCAGAAGCATCTGACTACTCTGCCATCTTGGCCCCATCCCCTCACCAACACCATACTATCTTGATTACTCTAGCTTTATAGTAAATCTTAATGTCACACAGTGTGAGTCCTCTAACTTTGTTTTTATTTTTCAAAATTGTTTTGGCGATTTCAGTTCCTTTGTCTTTCCATAAAGGAGCCCTGGTGGTGCAGTGGTTAAAGTGCTAGACTGCTAACTGAAAGGTCGGTGGTTGGAAACTACCAGCAGCTCCATGGGAGAAAGATGTAGCAGTCTGCTTCAGTAGAACTTTAGAGCCTTGGAAACCCTATGGGGTTGCTATAAGTCAGAATCAACTCGACGACAGTGGGTTTTGGGGTTTGGGTCTTTCCATATAAATCTTAGAATTAGCCTGTTGCTACAAAAAAAAAAAAAAAAAAACCGTTTTGAGATTTTGGTTGGGATTATTTTGAATCTATAGACTAGTTTGAGGAAAATTAACATATTAACAATAGTGAGTTTTCCAATTCATACAGGATATATCCCTGTACTTATGTTGGTGTTAGATTTCTTTCACCAGTGGTTTGTAGTTTTCTGCATACAGCATACATAAATTTTGTTAGATTTTTACCTAGTTTTTTTTTTTTTTGGCACTATTGTGAATGGTACTTAAAAAAAATTTGTTTTAGATGTTCATTACTAGTATATAGATGTATAATTGATTTTTTATATTGAACTTTTATCCCTAAACTTTGCTAAACTCACTTATTAGGTCTAGTAGCTTTTTTTATATCTACCTCAGAATTTTCAGTGTAGACAATCATGTCATCTGGAAATAGAGAGGGTTTTATTTCTTCTTTTCCAATATGTATGTCTTTTATTTCTCATTCTTGCCTTATTGCACTGACTTGGACCTCCAGTACAATGTTAAATAGAAGTCATGAGAACAGCTATCCTTGAAATGTTCCTGATCTTAGGAGAAAGGCATTTGATCTTTTGCCATTATATATGATGGTAGCTGTAGGTTTCTTTGTAGATATTTTT